TGTGTGTGTGTGTGTGTGTGTGTGTGTGTGTGTGTGTGTGTGTGTGTTAAAAATTAAAGCCAGGTTTTACACACACACACTGGAGTGATCCAGTCTGTAGTGATTAATACAATCTACTTTATCCTCTTAACCCATAGGTCATTGGAACTCACACTACTCCATAGGTGGGTCAAATATGACCTTCATGAAATCATTACTTATGTCAATATAGGTCAATGTTTTGTCTGATGAATGGAAACAAAATGAATCTCTAGAAATAAAGCGCAAAATACCAGACCTGTATTATAATTTTTTTGTTATACCTGTCGTCATCATTTTGCTCACAATATTCATTTGAATCACACACCAGCATTATTTAAAGTTTTATTTTCATTGTCAAATTATCAAACTTGCAAATTACGTTCTATTTTAGTCATGCTACTAAGAGAGGCAACAGTTACCCTGAACAGCAGTTATGTCAACTGGTAAGCTAACGTTAGCTAGCTTTACAGACGCTTTATTTGATTATAGAAGCAGATAGTCCTTCTTATGTCTTTTATATTCTATGCTAAAAACATTTATTTCTCTTAAAAAGTAGAATATAAAAGACGAATGGGTGAGAATTTTAAACAGGTATACGCTTAGTGTTATGTGTTACAAATACGCATCGGCCCCACATAGCAGGTTCTGAGTATGTGCTACGCAGTGATTTCACACTTGAAAATGACAAAAAGTAAGAAAACCCAAATGATTGATTCACAAAGGAAATAGAGTGACTACTCTAATTAAATAAGCTTGTGGTGTATTTACTCCAGGACGTGATCCTGACCCTGCAAGAGAAGTTGTCCATCAAATGCATCGAGCACTTCTCCCTGGTGTTGGAGCACAGGACGGAAGGCTCTGGAAGCAAACTGCTCCTCCTGCACGAACAGGAGATGCTTACTCAGGTAGGAGATGTTTCCTCTTCGTTCGTTTGACAAGCGCGCGCACACACACACACACACACATTCCTGCTCAGTATTCACATGCCATTTGGACCGCGGTGCTATTTATCAGCACTAGCACATAAGGGGCAACAGCTCATATTACACATACACTCCAACATACACACACACTCTCATCCATAGTGTCCGCTACATTCTAATGAGGTTGCGGGATCACAAGAGGACAATTTTAATATTCCGATGTGGAGCTCTGCACGTGGCACACGCACTGGCAGTTTAAGAGTCTCTGACACGCTTGATGAAACATACACTGTAATATAGCTGAGTGTCCATCTTAGTGACGGGTGTAAAGGAGGAGGCGGGTAGTCCTTGAATTGGAAAACAAACTCCCTCGCCTTTACTACACAACCACATTAAATCATTCATAAAATACAATCAATATGTTAATGATGATGCTGGAAATGGAATCAAACGCGGAGACAATGTAACTAAGTCTAACCAACCTTGTGTTTGTTCACTGCTTTTTCTTCACCGGTGCATGTTCTAATGCTTCTGCTCACCTATGACCCTCCATGTATCTCTTCCCCTCCTCTCTCTCTCTTTCTCCCTTCATGTCTCCCTCCTGTCTGTGACCCCAGGTGACCCAGAGGCCCGGCTGTGACAAGATGAAGTGTTTCTTTCGGCTCAGCTTCGTGCCCAGGGACCCCGTGGAGCTGCTCCGGAGAGACGCTGTGGCGTTTGAATACCTCTATGTGCAGGTGAGCAAAGTCCTGAGACTGATTCTGTGAAATTGTTTGTCACCTTTGAGCGGGATAAGGATGGAGCATATGGTAATTTGGAAATGATTAATGGTCAATAACAAAGCTACAGAATGGATCCTGTCAAGACAAAATCTTCATTTGCAAATAAAGTCCTCAAGTCAAAAACCCACTCTTGTCTTAACTACTCTCTAAAATAATAAATTGCCTCCCCATAGGATTCCTTTGATAAATAGTCAAGTGAAATGGCCTGAGAGAAGGAAAGCTAATCTTCAGTTTGACATTTTTTACTTCCGAGTCCTTCACCAGGGACTGGAAACTGCATCCCTTTGAAGGAAGCTCAAGTCACGAAGGTTGGGAACAACTTATTTCAGCTCTGCAGGGACGCGCTGCTGCTGCTGCCGCTCGAATCGCTCGATGGAGACATGAACCGCACTTCACGAGCCCCAGCAGTTGACTTTGGGATTCCTATGTAACACTGCTTCCTGCTTTGCCGTAGAGTTGCAACGACGTGGTGTTGGAGCGCTTCGGCACGGAGCTGAAGTACGACGCCGCGCTGCGACTGGCTGCTCTGCAGATGTACATCCTCACCATGACGACCAGACAGACCCAGAAGGTGTCCCTGAAATACATCCAGTAAGTTTGCGTGTAAAGGACGTTGCGGGTGTGTTTTTGACACTACCAACATGATCTGTAATGTTAAACTGTTGTACAGCCTGGAGCTGCTCCATCAATAATACATAATAGACTGACTGAGACAGTTTGGGCTGTTTCCTCTAAAAGTGTTTTTTGATGCTTTTACAGAAGTTTCTCAAGGATTCATCGTCCTTTTCTGCCTCCTCTTCTGCAAAACAAAGTTTTATGGTTGGATAAACAATCAAATTGCATCTAAAGAAATAGCATCCAGACAGTGGGCCTCGTGCAAAAACACTGGTACAAACAAGTGATTTAGGAGAATGCGTGGCATTCGCCAAGACTTAGATGTTTTTCTTAAGAGCCAACAAAATCCATATGTGGTCCACAACTCTCGTACGAGCCGTGGACACGTTTCAGCACCGCAACTTATACAGTCAAGCAGTTGTTAGGATTATTCTCCCACGTATTGTAAAGTTATTGAGGAAGCCTGGAGAAAGCTCCCCTCCTCTTTCTGACTGGCAATCCATCTGCTCTCAACAGAAAGGAGTGGGGTCTGCCGCTGTTCCTGCCTCCCGTCGTGTTGTCCAGCATGAAGGAGAAAAACATCAAGAAGGCTCTGACGCACATCCTAAAAACCAACCAGAACCTCGTGCCTCCAGGGAAAAAAGTAAGCAGCCCCCTTTGTCTTTCTTTGCCCTTGTTAACAAACTTCTGACACACACAAGCATGTGCACGAGCGCAGTCTGTTTTCCTGACACAATATCCTTAAATAGCATCGCTGCCATGCTCGACCTTGTAAAGTTTCTCACCCTTGTCAACCTAAGACCCTCAGTCGAGCCAGACCGCGCATGCTAATGTGAAAAACTTCGTCAGACTGTGTGCATAATAAGATATTCATATTCACGCGCTGTTCCACCGGTCAGGGACGGCTGATCCAACTTCAGCTCTACTTTTTAGCTCTTTGTGAAACTGTTTCAATGATACAGACACTCATACTGTAACACCCACATTTACTCTGAGAAGACACAAACGCTTCCAAACTGAATTCTCAGTGCATGTGGATGAGTAAAAGAACTGTGCTGTGGTGGCATGTCGCTTCATAGCGATGCACATGGGCTCTGTAGTTCATCTCGAGTCGATCCCACTTACACCATCGTGCCGCCATAAATAATCCCTCCAAATATGTATTCATCCTGGATGAATGTTATGACTCCTTAAAGAACTGCAGAGCCCAGCTGTTTTAGGAAATGACTTGGCCTTTTTTTTTTTTTTTAAATGACAATATATTTTTGGCCCATTTTGAAAGTCTTTCTTCTTCCACGATACCCATATTTGATATCATTGTATGATATCCCAATTCTCTCTGCATGTCTGAGGTCTCTATATATCTCTATTGTGATTATACGATTTTTAACAGTTTCTTTAACAGCCATTACAAATTCTGTCAAGGTCAGACATCCCATTAGCCTTTTGTTTCTGAGACTGATGCTTATTTTAATTTGAGGTGCAACATCAGATGGATCGATAAATAAGTCTGAAGGGGAGTATTGTAAGTGGTGATGAAGGCAGCTTGATATATGGCACATGTACACAAGCTGTTGTCATTCAGCTGCCTCTGCATTACAAATCAATTGCCTTCCCTGAGAAAAATACAAGGACACTCGTTGCATATTAATAAAGAAATAAATCTGCTCTGTAAAGAAGTGAAGAAGTAACAATAGATGCATAAAACATGTCAGGTCTTAGATATACGTATGTCTCATTACAGCGCAGGCAGCAGCATTTTATGCTAAAATGCAGTTTGGGTCCTTTTAAGATTGAATGTCGAAAATCTGACAGACCCTAAATGGCAGGACAGGAACACATCCACACAAGCAAGCCACAAAGAGAACTGCAGCAGAGCAGCACTTCAGACTTTGATCAGATTTAAATAACATGATGTAATGGAAAATCAGTGGTCTGGATCAAAATGGCTTGAGAGTGCTTTACATCCTGACATTATAATACAAATGTGTCCGTACAGGTTGAAGTGATTTGGTTTTCGGATGCTGACTCATGTCTTTCCCTTCTCTCCGTGCAGCTGACTGCGTTGCAGGCCAAGGTGCATTACCTGAGGTACCTCAGCGAACTCCGACTCTATGGAGGGAGGGAGTTCAATTCAATACTTTTGGTAAGGACAGTAGTCCTGTAAAAGGTTTGTCCAAGTTTAAAAATTAAATCTTTTAAAATGAAAGTTTGACATGATGATTTGCTTTTAACTGTCTTTAGCAAGGGGAGAAACAGACCGAGGTGACGCTGCTGGTGGGCCCGCGTTACGGCATCAGTCACGTCATCAACACCCGGACCAACCTAGTGGCCCTGTTGGCCGACTTCAGCCACGTCAACCGCATCGAGATCCTCACTGAGGATGAGACCAACGTCCGACTGGAGCTGCATGTTCTGGATGTCAGGGTGAGCACGGTTCTGTCTGAAAACAGAAGCAGTAGCGAGCATTATTTCGCCCAACACAAATGATACTATCTGTTGTTTATCCTTTTTTTTTCCCCTCCCCTCCTTCCACCCTTCCTTTCGTTTTTTTCACAGCCCATCACACTGATCATGGAAGCCAGTGATGCAATGAACCTGGCCTGTCTAACAGCAGGCTACTACCGCCTCCTAGTGGACTCCAGGAGATCTATCTTCAGCATGCCCCACTGCAATAGCACTGGAGGGGATGACACTGGTGAGTTATGATTAACCAAGACAGTGTGTAGTGTATGTGTGCGCGGTCAAAATAGTTTGGATTTGCTACTAATTTAATTTGTGGAATTGTACAGTCAGTATCTAAATTGTTTCTTATTTCAAGTGGGTGCATTTGGATGACAAAATGTGTATTTTCCAGCACATTGTTATTCGTGAACGTAGTAGAAATATGTGGCAAGATCTTTGTCCTGGCAGGACACTCCACATGAAACCATTAAAACAAGTAGAGAAGAAATGCTTGAAACTTAAAAAATTGAAGATTTACGGTGCAGCATTAAAACCAAAAAGTCTAGAAGTGGAGCACTCAAACATCTTGCGAAGAGCAGGCAGCCACTTTAAGATTCAATCAACATCAAATATAAAACACATGAAATAATAAGACCGTGTATTGCTGCTGTCTGCAGGTCAGGATCGCGTCCTGGAATGGCCATACAGCACATCTTTGGGGGACAACGAGGAGCCGTCACCCAGCCAAGGAGAGGTCTACAACAGTGACTCTGAGTATTCCAACAATGGGCAGAGAGAAAACAGCATGTCTCCTTACTTCCATGAAGCCCCAAACCCTGACAGAGACCTTGGAACACAGAGGAGTCCGTTGCCCCCTCCTCTTCCCCCCGCTACCAGACACAAACCTCAAGACTCTCCTCGGAGCGCCAAAGTGTCGTTCATCTTTGGGGGGGACCCACCCTTGAACAAGCCTAAGAACTTGGGCTATGAAAGACTGTTGGAGAGCCCTGAGGTCCCCGAGCACAGACCGCCCTACTTGCACAACAACACAGACTTTCGGCCACAGGACAGGGTGCCGTTTCAGTTCGGTGATCTGACGCATGTCTATAGTAACATTATAACTGAGGAAGGTGGTGAGGAGCCACTGCTTAGGGATCTGTTTTATCGCGACACAACGGACGATGCGGAGGACGACGACGATGCTTCCTGCGAAGAGGACTCCACCGGAGGGACACCAGTGGGCGACGACGGAGGAGGCATAGATGAAAACCGTGGCAGCCAAGGAGGAGGGTTAGCCACGGCAGCCGGCAAGGCTTCCTTCCTCGCGCTTTCCGGTTCCACCGACGACATCATTGACCTGACGTCTCTGCCCCCTCCCGAGGGAGACGACAGCGTCGACGACGACGAAGACGACACGCTGCTGCAGACGCTCAACCTTGCGATCGCGGCTCCTCCACCGGGTTTCCGGGACAATTCAGACGAGGACGCGGCACCTGAGGGAAGGCCGCTAAGCACGCCCGAAAATGATGATATCCCGGTGTCGTTAATCGACGCCGTTCCAACACACGAGGAGGGGGAAGGGAGCATGGGAGGAGAGAGAAGACTGGAGAATGCAGTCATGCATACCCTACAGGCACTGGAGGCTCTGTCTGTCTCTGATCAGAGGCCTCCGCCGCCACCACCCAGCAGTAGCAATCCAGGTCTGTTGAAAGTTTATGCAAGTACAGTAACGTTTGATCACCATCATCTATGTCTTTGTTTAACATTGGTTTCCAGACCTCTTTACTCACCGTGACTGGCCCCAAATAAATCCTGTGTCGTAGTCTATGGTCTTCAGTCTCTCTCATTTTATATCATTCAGATCACTAAAATGTGTGGGATGTTATTCATGTTAAAGCTGTGTTTGTCGATATTTTTTATCTTTAATGCGTTTTCTTTAATTCTCTGTGACCTCGTGCCCCTTTAAAGTTAGCAAACTCTCAAAACACATCCATGACACCAGAACAGAAACCATTTTTATAATAGGCCTTCTCAATTGCAAATATGGACATATATCTGTGTAATATTTCATACCATGTAACAGCTTCAGCAGCTAACTTAGTTAGCTAAATAACCCATATTTAACTTTGTATCTCTTGTCTTCTAGGTGTTTACGCATCTCGAGGCTTCAGCCCAGAGTCGTCCTCAGATTCTGGCAATGAGACCAACTCCTCGGAGATGACGGAAATCTGTGAACTGGCTGCGAATCACAGGATCAATGAGAGCCACATGCGTCTCCTGTTGGCCACAAGGGAAGGGTACCAACCTTTACTCGAGGAGAAAACCGAATTCCCCGTCTCGCCCAGCACGGTAGGAACAATACAGAAGAAACCCCGTAGTCCAACACGGCACCTTCAGCCTCCAGCTGTTCCCCCAAGACGGAGCCCCCTTTTGGACACCGCTTCATCAGGGCCCGATAGCTTGACGGTTAGATCCCAGACAAAGCTCTCATCCACTCTCCAGCGCCCGAGTTCCACCACACCAGGAGGCAAGCATCACCAAAAGTCTACAGACTCCAGTGGCAAGTACAACACATTCAGCACAAGGGAAGGGCATCGAGGTGAGGGCAGTGGGAGCCGTGGCCATCTTAAATTGGACCAGCGCACTTCCTTCTCTGAGCGAGGGGAAAGTCAAAGGAGACAGAATTCTTTTCTGGCAGAAAATGCTGCAGCCGAGAACGTTGCAATGAACAGCCTCCCCCGCGACCATCACAGAATTCCCCGCCCTCCGTCCACTAGCTCTGATCGCCTCTTAGATGTTGTCAACTTGGGGGACTGCGGTGCAGATAATGGAGCTGCTGCTGTCGAGCAAGACGAGCATCTAGTTGTAGCGTCATTGCTGTCCCCAACCAAAAAATCCAGATCAGGGGGGTCCGACCAGGGATCGGACATACAAAATGACCATCAGCCGATTTCTAGACAGCAGAGTGTCGCACGGTTATGTGAGTACCACCTCGCCAAAAGGATTTCAAATTTGCAAGGGGAAGGCCACAGTTCACAACAGGGTTCTCTGTGCTCATCGCTGGACGCTGGCGGCAGCACGAACAGTAGTGCCTGTGCCACCCCAACTGACTCACCCCTCGGCCCCAGTGCGGTTGAATTAAAACACCACCATTTGCAAAGGCACCCACTCTCTAGTTCCTCCTCCTCATTACTCAGGGTGCTAAACTATGAGGATAGCAAACCCGGAATCCCCCGCGGCACCCCTAGCCAGAGCACTCAGGGAAAGGACCTCCACCCTCATGCAGACCCTGCCCTCCTTCGGAAAATGCTGCCCAACATTCACCCTCCTGCTGCTGGGGCTGAACCAGGTCGCCCCTCGTCGGCCACACCGTCTAAGCATAAAGAGACAACAGGTACTGGGAGCAAGAGGCCCCACAATGATCTGCATGCTAAACAACAGGCCTGTTTTAAGGGGCTGAACCAGAAGGAAGGAAGCGAGGCCTACAGGCAACTGATTAACTATCTAACAGTCAGCCAGATGCATCAGGGAGGGAAGCTGCACAGTGCAGGCATGGGAGGGGCAGTAAAAAAGGACACCAGGCGCTTTATCACGAGTAACCCTCAGCTTGTCGAAATGGTAAAGAATAGGGGGAACACCATTGCTCGCTGCCAATGTATGCCTTCCTCCATATCATCCCCATTCCTCAGCCCAAATTTAGTAACCCCGAACGCGAACACCATGCCGCTGGCAAATAGAAATCCTCAGTCATACCATTCTGCCACACTTCCTGCCAAACTCAAGAGAAGTTCTGACATGCATGCTCAGAAACTGAATGACAGTCTAGATTTCATGCCCGCTACTGCCGAGAGGAGAAGCTCCTTTTCTGGCCTGGAAAGTGAACTAGAGAGGAGTGGTATGGACCCAGAGCACTTCCTGTCCCTGTATAAGAGAGAGGGCTGTATCAGTCGTGACGGAGGATTCATTACAGGTGGAAACCGCGAGGGTGGGGGTACAGCTAACCGCCCCCCGCCTCGGTCAAGAAGCCAGCCTAGTAACAGCACTGAGGACTGGTTCAGATCAGACCCAAGGGCAAAGCATGCAGTTCGTCAGTCACCACATTCTCGTCCTAATGATTCTCTTTGTTTCTCTGCTGCCCCCAGTGTAAGTGGTCAACGGGCTGACCTCAACACCGTCTCACTAGGAAGGGGAGACCACCCTTCAGCTTTTGTCAGGCAGACATGTGCTGGCACTAGGGCTTGCATTACATCTCCCACTCCCAACCTGCAATCTCCCCCTCCTCCACCACCTCCTCCTCCTCCTCCTCCACCTCCTTTGTCTCTTCCCTCGCAAGCCAACGCTTGCTCCGGCATCTCTGGATGCACACAGGAGGCCATGCGTTCCATCCAGTCTCGGCCAAATCACAACCACATTCAGGCTGTTACCCCAACACAGACGGATCCCTTCTGCAATAGCCTGCAACGGGGCAGGGAGCTCAAACGCAGCTCCAGCAACGTGACCGCCAGTTCCGGGGGCGTGGAGGTCCTGCTTGATAAGCCCACTCGGTGCCGGAGCCAGCAGCCCCTGTCACCATCTGTGCCCCTGCAAGGTGAGACCAAAGTCCAACGGAGGCCGACAAGGAAGCGGCTCTCCAAGAGCTACTCCCAAGGCTCTGTGTCCTCCCACACATGCTGGTCTATAGGCAGTACGGCAGACAGCAGGAGGGCGTCTGTGGCACTTCCACTACAGAAAGACGCTAAGCACATGAAGGGCTCTCAAAAACTGGACACCAGTCCCTGGAGATGCAATGGGCCTTTTAGCTACTGTTTCTTCAAACGTAAGAGCAAGGGAGAGGACGACGACATTGAGTGGGAGAGGCCCCGACGGAGCCACGGTGGGAACGATATGGATAACGGCTGTGCGGCTGCATCAGCCATACTGCCCTGTGGCTCGGTGGTGGATGTAGCTGGGGAGCAGCTGTACGGGGAGGTGCTCAACAACATGAGCTTCAGCGACCGCCTTGCCCGAATCAACGCACTCAAGGACCGCATGTACTGCTTCCCTTCCGGCTTTGTGGACGTCCGCCGCGACGCCAGCGAGCTCATTGCCCTGGTGAGATCCAGCGTTGGTCGCTGCGACCGCGGGGCCCAGATGCCTCTCCCAGACGTATCCCAGTTCAAGCAGCTCCTCTCGGTTGAGTCTAAAGAATTGGGCCGGGCGTGCCGGAGGATGGCGCAGGCCCACACTAGTCCCGAGGAGATGCTGCTAGCCGTAACTTGTAGCTTCCAGGTGCTATGCTGTCTCTGCGAAGCTTGCATGTGTCTGGTGAGGGGGCTCGGAGCCTCGGTTTCGCACCAACAGAGAGAGGTCGTGGCAAAGGTGGACGAGGTCGTTATGAACTATATCTGTTTGCTCAAAGCGGCTGAGGCTGCCACCGTGGGAGCACCAGGGGAGCACAGCGTGAAAGCCCTGGTCCGCCACTCCAGTACCATGTCGGCCATTGCTAACGCACTCACCCGCTCCCTTAAAACGCTGCTTAGCAAGTAGAAGCTACTCTTGATGCTTTATAGTGTGGCCTACGCAGTCAGTATTAGTCTGTCTTTAAGCATCTTGTTATTTTTGGTTCTGCTGAAGAAGTCGTATATTTTTCATATAAGGTCTGGACAGTCTTCATATCCAAATCAATATAGCGTAAGACTAGTTGCAGTTCAACTTAACATTGGAGTTACCCAAAACTCGAACTGAAAAAAATGAGAACGATGCTGAAAGGTATTCCTATCTGACTGCACTTGCTTTTTCTGATGACAATATTGTAATGTATATTTACAAAGCCATACTGTCTCAGACCTTTGTAATATGATATGTACCTAATAGATACCCTTTTACCTGTGCATTATGTAACTTATTTAAAAAAACAAATGTGTATAATGTACATAGATACAATATAAATATATTATTTGCCGTAGCAGTTTCAAGAAGCCATTGAGTGTTCAGCATAACTTGCTCCAATATCGTACAGGGCTGGAGTGAATTTACATTCGGTTCAATCAGTTCATTAAGTGCAGTTTTACTTCAGATATTTAGAGTTTACCTGTAGAGATGTCAGTAAAAATGTGTCACTGTCAGTCCGGTGAGGAGATTGTTGCCGTCATTTTATCCACATGATTCAACCTGTTAGGTTGAATTTCTGAATGACTGTGTAAAGATGAACTGATTTCAACACTGTTGTATTACAATGCAGTTTCATTATACGCAAGATGAGAGGGACATTTGTTAGAGATGTTGAAAATACAGGGACACTATCACTGCACTGCATTTACCACTGCTTCATAATTTACCATATAGATTATTTTCAGATAAAAGTAATAAACAACAAATATAATATATCAAACTATCCCCCAAAAAATAAATATATTAGACCTATAATGACACGATAATCAATTTTGAGAAAAACATAATTTGTTATGAAATATATCAGATTGACCACTGTGTTAATTGTATCGAATCATTTTTAAGCTTTTGTGTTTTATCATCTGTTTTGGACTCATGTCTGTGCTTGAAGGACTTATTATTCCACACTATGTATCAAGATGCAGTCATGTCTCTTGAGAAGAAATTAAATTCCTGTTTTTCTTTTCTTTTTTTAATAATTCACCAACGTATTAAAAACATTTTACAGATATGTTTGTCTCCCCTACCATGTGTCTCTTGGTTTGAATGGTTCACTGTAATATGCACCGGTGTTAATTCATCTTCGAACAAATGCACAACAGCCATTAAGTTTAATTTTAATTTAATAAAACTACTTACATCTCCTGTCTATACAGTGGTGGACTCATAGACTATATGGCTGCACCTGATCAACAAGGAAGATAAACCTCATACAGTTTGACCTGGGCGAGCAACTTTTTAAGCGAGAAAAAGAGGAAATATTAAAATATGATTTTTTAACTTTAGCAACATCAAGTTTCTATTAAAGTTCATGCTTCATCTGGATGAAAAAAAATTAATCTATCCATGCCAAGTGACAGATTTGAATGAACAACTAATTGAATACACTTTAACCCTGTAAAGCAGTGGTTCTCAACTGGTCTGGCTGCGGGACCCACCATCACCCCTTAATGACAAGCCGGGACCCACGACCCAAATTATATATATATATAGATATATATAGATAGATATATATCTATCGATATATAGATAGATATATATCTATCTATATATATA